GTCTGTAAATTCCCATTGCCTTCACTTTTTTTGAGTGCACTGTTAGCGGTCAGAAAGCCTCAAATGGTTAAGTGCTAAACTCTCCTGACTCTGCATGGTAGCGCCAGCCGATCCTCTCTTCACTTTTGGCAAGTGTAGTCATTTTGTTCTCTTAGAGGCCAAGGCACAAGCCTGATTCCCTTCCTAATCCGAAAGAAGAGGCAGAAAGGAAGAGCTTCATGGATGCTTTCTAATAGGGAAATCCTGAAAGTCATTTGTGTCTCTGACTTCTAAAAATTTTATTTCAGTAAGTGGGCAGATCCCCAGGCTCGAAGGACAGAAAGCAAGTGAGAGATCCTAAGAAGCAATTTACTTGGATAGAAAGAACTGCAGCTTGAGAGGCACATCAGAGTGAGCAAGTCCACACTGAACTGAATTCCTAGCTCTCCGTATGTTGGCCGGACCGCAGCTGCCACAGAAGAGTTTCTTCACGTGGCTTCCGGGAGAGGCCAGCACACACCACAGAAAGAAAGTTACATGAAAAGAAGGTTACATGAAAAGGAGTGCCCACCACCCTCTTCTTGACCAGCCACATCAGACCTGGACTTGGACCAGAGAACTTATGAGAGCACTGGATGGGGTGTATGCGTGATACGTAAGCGAGCGGGACCCCCATGTCCAGGTGGAGAAACCATGCTCACACATACAGGCACAGGCCTTCTCATTTACTCAGACCCCACAATGTTTATGTGAGCAAATGTGAATACGTGAATCTGCACTTCAAGCAGCAGGAGAGGCACAGATGGAGAGAGATGTGAAAAGCTTTAGGGAATTCTTTTAGAGGCTTGGTGGCGTGCTGAATGCCTGCTGGTCGTGGTGCCAACTTGTGGGGCCATCCCATCGAGTCCATATTGGGGGCTGAGAGGCCAGGAAGTGGGGAGTTTAAGCATGGAAAAACTGTGGGTGTATACTTCTTTTTGTACCTCGTTTGTTTTCTGGCTAGGGTTGCATCTAAAACAGTTCTATACTGCGTTAGAAAATGGACACTCTAGGTTTTCAAAGCAGTCATTAGAACGGAAAGAGATGGTGATTTCCCTAGCAAATTGTAGATGGGACTGGAACGTCATGACCCGGGCCACCAGACTTTCTGGAGATAGCCCTATACTTGTGATGGCAGGATGGGGCATGGCAGGACAGATAACCCAGGACAGGGGTCCCCAACCACAGTTTTGGGGAGTAATGATGGGACAAAAGAAATAAGAAAGTTTAGAAATCCATTCTTCCCTGCCAGTTTTTCCCAAACTTGAGGAAGCAGAGGTACATTGGATAAGCAGGACAGATCTGGAGAAAAGAATGAGGGCATCTACACCAGGTTGTCAATTGAGGGGTGAGAGGAGAGGGAGGGAGGAAGAGTGAATGAAAGAGTGCATGGGGGGTACCCAGTCGAAGAGTAGTGACTGGTGGGTGCAGTCCCCTTCCCCCCAGCTCTGTGCAGGCAGGTCCGACAGTGTAGCAGTGGGAGGCAGCGAGCCACGTGGGCAGGTGTACAGCCCAGTTATCACAAGGAGCAGGTCACAGAAATACCCTCAAGATAGTCTGGATTTGAGGCCAGCAAACTGTGACAAGTAGGGATAGTTCAGTCTGTGGCTTCGAATGGCCCAAGAGCTAAGAATGGTTTTTACATTTTCAAAGGGTTGCAAAACAATCAACAACAAAGAAGAATATGCTGCAGAGAACGTAAGTGGCTCACGAAGCCTAAAATAGTTACTCTCTGGTCCTTTACTGAAAAAGTTTATCAACCCCTGGTCTAGTTGAGGGGGAAAAATCCCATTAACCTTGGAGCCTTCCTGAAAATGGAAACCAGAGGAGGTCCAGGAGAAAACCAGGGATCAGTGGAAACAACTGGAAATACCATCCATATGATTTGCACAGCCCTAACAGGGTACTGACTGCAACTCCACAGAAGAGTGAGGTATGCATGAACTATGGAAGGAAGCCCAAGAATAACTAGAGACACACTAAGGAGCATTGGGCAAAGAATGTTCTGGAAAAGATTGCATGCAGTGTTCAGTACTGATTAGAGAATTCCGCTATTGTTTAATAAGATGGAGATGGAGTTTGAGCCCAGGGATTGACAAAATATCAAGCTAAGTGAAGTTTCTAGAACACAACTGAGTATCTCATGAGCATCTAATAGTCTGAAATATCTCATAAAGTTTACAAAAGGAAGGATAAAGTAGATTCTAGGAGAGCCAATATTGGTTTGTCCTACTTTAAATAAACACCAATTACAAAAGTTCACACTAAGAAAAAGAGGAGACACTAGAGGACATCGACAAAAGCATTCATAGTTTTTCAAAAGAAGTCACTAGAAGATTCCCTTACATAAGGCGCTCCTCTGCTTACAAATGGAATTTGATCTACAAAAATCCATTTTCCCCACACAACTTCTAGGGAAAACATCCATTGCACAAATTGAATTTGGAGGGGAATGGATGTTTAGAGAAATTCAGATTTGTCTTTGGATTCATGAACTAAAGAACTCAAGCATTTTTCCTTAAAGCATATATAGTAGTTCGCTGAAATACCTGGGAAATTCATGTCATAAAAATAGAAGCCAGCCGTGGGTCTTCTATAAACGTAGTGCTTTAAAAGACAAAACACTGGACCTAGATGCAGGAGACCCTGGGATGCAGGCCAGGCCCTACTGCTTCGTGACCTTGTGTGAGTTATTTGACTTTTCTGGGTCTCAGCTTCCTCATCTCTAAAATGAGGTTGGTCCCTTTCAGCTCTAACATTCCGTGACTACAGATAAATATAGAAATAAGATAAGTACACCAATCTAGAAATAAGAAGTATTCCCCAAAGTTAGCTTTGGAGTCAGTAGAAAAAAGTAGCAATGAAATATAATAAAAAGAATAAAATTTTAACTACTAGCCAGAGTAAATATATCTCATTTAAAAATTAATGAAAAGATTTGTAATTTACAATTGATCAGGAGAGGTAAGAACAGACATATTAACATTTCTTCACCAGACAGAGAAGGGGATGTGTTTGAGGTGACTTGTACAATGAGCATGATTCTGCTTTTGCATGCATGAGAGTTTATAAAATTGGACATTAAAAAAAGCTCAAGACCACAAAAGGGATACATTTCTATGAAGCTTGGCATTACAGAAAGGTGGAGAGGGATTAACTGGTTATTCCAGTTGAGATTTTGTTTGTGGATTTGTTGATATCAAATCCCACTATTTAGGCAAAATAAAAAAATCAAATATACTTCTGCCAGAGCCTTCTTAGAGAAATAGCCACTGTGGTGAGGCAGGTAATAAATAGTTAGCAATGCCATACAAATAAATATAACACCTTTTCTTTTTTCTTATGTGTGAGTTAAAAAAAAAGTTTAACCAAAAACAGACCAGATGTGCTGGCTAAGTCAAATCAAAGGTTTTACAGTTTGAACGAAGTAGTTGATTCAACTGGATGATTTCTTAACACCTAAACAAATGTATGCCTGACCAACAGGAGAATGTACATCACTTGGCCAGAGACTGATCACTGTCATCACAGCAGAAACTATAGGAAAGGTTGGACTCAGTTGGAGAGTTGTGGTCATTCAGGGACTTAAAGGAGCAATATCCCTGGAAAACTCTTCTCTCTCTCTCTCTCTCTCTCTCTCTCTCTCTCTCTCACACACACACACACACACACACACACATCTCCTCAGGGATGCTATTAGATCCTGGGACCAACTTTGAGAGCCACTGGCCTACATTTAAGGCTTTACTGAATACAATTATATACCCATTTCACACAACTTCATCACTGATGCAAATTTCTTTTTGCTAAACTCATCTAAAGGTCCTCAAGTGTGTGTCTATAATCATTTACTATTGCATTCTGCCATAAATCTGTCTCACAGTTTATTTCATGCCATTATTTAAATCATTGTGATTTTTTGCTGCTCTTTGACACAGGTAGCTCTTTGTACCTCTTTCCCACTCTCTTGTCCTTTTAAATCCCTGAAATCTTGGTCTTTTACAGCTAAAAGACCAACAAAGGCTTTGGAGGGGCCAGGTGCCCTAGTGTAGATCTGTCTACTTTTCACACCAAGCAGAAGGGGCAGCACATAATGTAGACAATGGGGGGGGGCAGAGGGCTGTGTTTAGTAAAGTCGTACTTTCTATAAGTTGAATAAGCATCACCAATACCGGACAACTGCCTTGATTGGACAGTTTTACCTTTCACAAACAGGACACATTTTCACAAACTCTTTAAATCCATGTGTTCTTTTACTAAAACAATAAGTAGCATTAATTTTGTGTAAAAATGTTAATGTACAATATGAATAATCTAGGCCTTCTCAGTGGCTTTGTGTAGCCACTTCCGAAGCCCCCTTGATAGTAACCATATTGAATAGCACTGGTATCAGGACAATTTAATCCATATCAGCAATTTACTACAATGATTCCAGGAGATTTAGGGATTTTCTATATTCTGGAGTCAGCTGTCAAGGAATTTGGCCTTTTCATGGTGAAAAATACACTTCTGCTACTAGATGATGCCTAAAATTCTTTAAGTAGAACTTCATTCTTTTGGAGTAAGACTTACCCCCTGTTCAGATTAAAGCATTAAGCCTTCCAATCTCAAAGTAAAGGAATAGATCCCTTTCCTGAGAACATGCTCTTCTTAAAGAGAAGGAAAATAAAGTGGGAGGTGCTCAGGAGAGTTGGTGCTGCGAAAGCAGGTCTGGGGAAAACAGAAGAGGCGGAGGGAAGAACACCAGTGACAGACCTGAGACTCAGCCTCTCTTTTGCTGAAGGGCTATCCCTGCAGGCATTCCTACCAAAACGGGTGCTACCCTGCCACTTGGAGCAGGTTATTTAGAAATCAACTATATTTTCTGATAATATTGAGGAGTCTTAGGCATAAGAAAGGTTTATAGCAATGGAAAAAACGGGTGTGATGAAACATTTGGTGCAAACAATAGATAGAGTAACCCTCCCCCACCCCCCCAACCCACCGCTGCGTGAGAACCATACTTGTTCGTAGGAAGAGGATAAACTGATATTATTTTATAGAGTGCAAATTGCAGGGCCGGGACGAGGGTAAGGCACTTGCACAGCCCTGAGAGTTGGTGCCTTCTTAAATATGGTGCCCCAGGTGACTCACTCACCTCACTCTAGTCCTGGCCCTGGCAAATCATATTCAAGTGAAAGCTTACCATTGCCTTACAGGCTTGGCAACAATGGAGGCTGCACCAGGGGAACAGAGTACTGATCATGAACTTGCTTTTTAGGGAATAGTTCATTTAAGAGGAAGCGGGCAGGTGAACGGACAGATCTGCCCAGACCGACAGCTACAGTGGGATCATGATCTGATCTGGGTTGCTCAGGGAGTGGAAATAGATGTCAGGTGAAAAGTTTGTTGTAAGAACCTTGGAGAATCTCCTCTGTCTTTGCACATTAAAGGTAATGTCTCCAGATCAACCAGTTGATGTGTGGCCATGAAGCTAACATGAGCTGTTTTGCTGCCTGTGGTCTTGCCTCTTTAAAGGGTGAATGGTGGACGTAAGGGTACAGTTCATGGGAGCTGGGAAGGAGGGATGAGTTGGGACCAGGTGTGAGGCCCAGGCAAAAGACTAAGGCAGACAAAGGAGAAGAGACACCAGCAAAGTTTCCTGTTATACTGAGAAAGACCAGCTCTTTACCCTCAACATCGAATCACAAATATGTAATGAATGTCCAGCAAGGCATTCTTGGCTACCATTAACCTCCTGTCCTGGAAAAAGGCATGAAACGACTGATATTGGAAGCTGACCTCTTGAACCCCTTCTGTATTCCACCTTCAAAAATTATCATTATTATTATTCAGATTGGTAATAATGGCCATAATAGGTTCTCTGAAAACCTTCTAGAGAGGGACTGTCAATCTCTCTTCTCCAGTCTCAGCACAGTAAGGCCACAGAAGGGTGGGAGAGAGTTGGTATTATGTTAATCAAGGGTAGGAGAGAGGTTGAGTGTTAGGGGAACTAAAGATAGTCGGTGTTATGTTCCTCTGTGATTGGTAGCTATTGTTTGGTTGTTTGGGACTAGGTGGCAAGATATTGAAAGAATGTTTTCAGGCCTCAGTGTTATCTTTGACCATACAATCTCTTCCCCCAAATCCTCTTGTGCTAATGGGAGTATCACTGGGCATAGTGACGATGTTGAAGGTGTTGTTAAAATTCCAGGCATATGGAGTACTGCAGAGAAAAGCAAGACTCAAGAATGTAAAATGTCTGGACACTCAGCTTTGGACTCTTGGGAAAACCACCAGAGGGAGCAAGGTGACAGGAGAGGCAAAACCCACTAGAACTAGCAAAGGAGAAGTTTCCAGAAAAATCAACAGAAGTGAGAAGTCCTATACTATGTGAGTCTCATCCTCAGCTTTAGAGTTCAGCTATTCATGATTCCCAAGGAGAAGTCCCTGGCGGTCTTTCACTTTTGTTAGGCAAGAGCACGAACATTCCTTCATTTTCCCATAAAGGAAAATGTTTCTGTCTTTTGGAGTTCTGAGTCTTGGCAGACAAGTGTGGCATTAGTATATAAGTGAAGACCAGGAATGAATCTATTTTATTTCAGGCCATCCCCCTGAAATTTGGTCAGGACCTTTAAAACTAATCATTCGAATACTTTCAAAAGTTACTGGGCTGTCTCTAGCTGTTTATTATTCTAAGTGGTTTCTTTCTAAATCAAGAAGGAATGATCACCAGGTAGTTGGCCCGTACTCAGAAGTCCAGAATTCAGAACTGTACCAATCAAAAGCCTAGGCCTAGGGCTTCTCCGTGAGAGGCCCAAGTCTTCTCTGCATGTGCGGTTTCTCAGCTGCTCCGTCTGGTGCTTGAGGGCAATTGAGCTGAGAGTTCGCTTCTCCCCAATGAGCGATGTGATCTGTCAGGATCAAGATCTGTCCATCTCTGGGGCAGTTTCTGCATCTTCCAGGAGGTTGACCAACAGAAGGAGGAGCGGTGGGAGTGAAGGAGAAAGGGCTAGGGGAACCCTCTTGGTGAAACAGGCCACAATTTCATGTTTCCCTTTGAGGAACAGTGGATTATTACCCTCTGTAATTGGTCAGCCAGTTTTCTTTGTTCACTGCCTTGTCTGTTTTTTTCTCCCAACCTCTTGGAAACCAGGGATATGAAAATCAAACGAATCAATTTTTCTCTGCTTAGAAAATTGAATTGACAAGAATAGTGCCCAAAGATCTGGGGAGAAGGGGTTCACAATGATCATTGTGGGGCTCTGTCAGCATCCCATTAACCCCAGTTCTTACATTCTTCCCCAGCATGGTTAATTAAAAGTTGGTCAAACAGCAGAATCTAAATGGCAAAAGTAGCCCTTTTTTTGTGTGTGTGATGGGCCATAGCAAAGCTTGGCCTTTGTGTGATGGGCCTTGCAAGGCCAGTTTTTAGATTTTGGATCTACCCTTTGAGTCTAAACATTTCAGACAGGTTAAGAATTCCTTTAGACAAAACCAAATGAGCCAGAAACCGCAATCTGAACTGAATGTCGGTGGGCAAGTTGCACTTACTTTTTCTTCCTTGAGACTTTGATGATACTGTTTCTTCAGCTAATTGCTTCCTGTAATGAATGTTATATGCAAATAAAATGAGGGTTCTTAGAATGCAGCATGAGCTGGGCACAGATCGTAGCTACTATGGTTCACAGACACTTGAAGGATCTCAAGGTGCAAGTGCAAGTTACCTTGAACAGATCTGAGCAAACAAATGGCTGCCTCGTTTGTTGGCTGAATTTGGTTCATCCAAAGCAACCCCATTCTGATCTTTTCTAGCTCAAGGGTGAGGGGTGAGGGACTATATGCTTATTGAAACTCATCACCCTGATCTCCGTGTAGACATCAAACTAAAAAGGCATGAAGTTGAGGAGAGAGTCACATTCATATTTTGCTCACCAAAAGTCATCCAATGCCATGCCGAAATAAGTGCACACCTGCAAACCCCTCAAAGGGGGACTTACTTTATGGTCAAAGAGGCATCAGAGTCTTTTTGTATCTCCACACAGGGACATCAAGGCCCTGTAGGGAAAGTGAGTAATCAGTAATGGCACCCTAACCCCCCTCCCAGGTTTGGCAGCCGTCAATCTTCTCTCACACCCAGCCCCTCAGCCACAGGAGTCAGGAATGGATCAGCCTGACCACTGATTGAAAAGTTTGCATGTGTGCCCTCACATCAGAGAATTTCTTCTTAGTGCATGCCACTGGCAGTGTGTGTGTGTGGGGGGGGGGCAGAATCAGGAGAATCAGGAGAAAATCGGTGGTCAGGAATGGCAAGATTGTTAAGTATGAAAATGTAAAATGCCTGAAGATGGTTGAGGTGCCTGATGATTTTCATTCTGCTTGAAGTGGCCTCTCTTTTGCTGTCCAGAGTGAGAGTTAATGTGAAAGAAATGCAGCCTCTTGTGTTATTTCCATGGTTCCTTTCAAAAACCCATTCTCTTCCCCATTTTCTACTCAAGTTTAGTGAGTAAACCCTGCTTGCTGAGCCCAGCGGGGTTTAGGTGCTGGGGTTATCGGTGGTTTCATAGTCTTTTGAAAATTGTGCAATAATTCTCCGAGCCAGTGGGTTAGTGGTCTTCAGCAGTTCGGCTGCTGAGGGGCGGGACCTTGGAGTGGTCTTGCTTCCCTTCTTCTGCAACAAGGCCTTGAAATCATCATTTCTGCCAGCATCTAGGTTGGCATTGCCACTTGACCCTGCACAGGTAGCCGACTCACTGATGGGTGAATCTGCCATGTTCCTTATCGGTGAGTGGGAGCACGGTCTGCCACTGCCAAAGGCCTCACTGGGCTCCTTCCAGCCCAGCAGCTTTCTTTTGGACCTAGATAAGAGAAAGTTTACTTTGAGTGAACTTGTGGGGCAGATATCTACCAAGGCTTCCATAACTTCATGACAGCAAGGGGCGTGATCTGAGAACTTTCACACAGCAGCCTTTCAAGCGGTCATACTAGCCAGCTTTCTCTCTTACTAAGGTCTCAGAATCCCTGATTTGGCTCCCCGGACCTACACGCCTTTCAATGCCCCCAGCTGGAGTTGCTTGACATGGGCCTGCGGGCTCAGTTCTGCCCGGGTTCTGGGACCAAGGAAGAGTTTCGGGAGTCAATGGCTAGTAGCTCAGCGACTCTGAATCACGACGGCCTGGGAGCTGATCCTGGTTTAAACTGGTGTTCCAACTCCAATAACTGGGCTCTTTCCAGTTTCCTGGTCACCGAACCCCTACTTTGTGGCCCTGTGCAATAACTGGGTCCCCATTCGCCTATTTCCTGCTTTGATACTCTGCCTTACTTCCTGATAAGATTTTTTTTTTTTTTTGGTTACAAGAAATTCTGTGAAGGGTTAAATGTCTCTGACTGTAGACAGAGCTGTGAGGGAACAGATGGAGCCACAATAGACCTCGCAGTTGCTAGGAGACGAGGGGCCTCTCACTCAGGCACCTGGTCCTCCCTTTCCGCCCCTGCTCCACTTCACCCAGAGATGTCAGTGAATTGGAGACGTGAGGCCCTGGACTGCGTTCACATATGTGGGTAACTGAACTTCGTTTCCGGTTTCAATTCTAATGGCCGCTTAGAGGTAGCAGTTTTTCTTTGGCATGAAAAGGAAAGGCGGTTACAATAGGAATTAAGGAAATTGGTCAGACCTGTGTATCACAGTAAATAAATCTTCGGTTGTGCGTGAAGCCACAAACACATCATCATCTTCTTCTGCAATCCATTCAGCTGTCTTATCACTGATTAAACTTTTTTCTTCAGTGCTGGGTTCCATAGAATTTCCTAGGCATAAGAACCAGAAGGAATTACTTTGACTACGACAGTTAGGACAAAGCACATTCTTACATATATTCATTTGCTCTCCAGAGCGGCTCTGGAAGGGGCGGTGACTTTTCGTGTGTCCATTTTACAGAGAAACATGGTGTTAAGAGGCTTAGTGAGTTGGCCAGGGTGGGATGAATGGTGATGATCGGCCTGATTCTCTGTTGTCTTGTGTTTACGCATGACAACACACCGCCTGAGCATTCTCTTGTTTTCAGTGAATCATTTTGAAAAATCAAGCTGAGAGCCACCTAAAGCAAAGTAGCGACCAGTACACGAGAGGGAACTGTGGTGTTTGAGGGAGCACATTCTAAAATCTCTTGTGGTTTTGATTTGTTTGCTATGTTTAATCACAAGCATTTAACTTATATTGAAAGTCTAAATCAGCTCAAGGAAAGTCATAAGGCTTTGATGTAGGGTGTTTAGGGTTCAAAAAGGATAAAAAACACGGATGAACCTTGAGGACATTATACTGAATGAAAGAAGCCAGTCACAAATGACAAATCCTATATGATTCCACTTATAGGAAGTCCTGAGTGGTTGCCAGGGTCTGGGGGGTGGGGGTGATGGGGAATTGCTAGATGAAGAAGAGTTCTGAAGATGGGTGGTAGTGATGGTTGAACAGGACCCTGAATGTACTTGACACGACTGGACTGTACACTTACAAATGGTTACTGTATTTGAGCACAATTAAAACAAAAAAAGATGGGCTTAAAAAAACAGGAAACACCATCTAACTTGTTATGATTCCAGGAGGAGCTAGCCTCAACCAGCCAAGAAAAGTATGCTCCCTTTCTTCTAGAAAGCACTAAGAAAGGCTGCTGGTGGTAACATATTTCCATGGCTTCAAAAGTGTGCAAGTCTGCCATAGTGCTGGCGCCCCCCCAGGAGGACACTGCAGCTAATTTCAGCTCGGCTAGTGGAGAGAAAGTTCCCAGGGCAGGGCACTCATGTCTTGACTAGGTAGATGGGTTCCTAAGGTGCTAGGGTGCCAGGACCTAGTTTGATTTCACTATCCCAGCTCAGGGGTGGTCAGAGTTGATTGGCCCAGACTGGGCCTTGGAGATCTGCAGTGAGCTGTATTTAGAATAAAACAAACCCTCAAGAGGTGCGCCCTTCCCCCCCCCCCCCCCGCAATGACTTGGTCATCCTGGAGCAGGATCATTACTGGGGGACATTTGCTCTGTCTCTGGCACTCCATTCTTACTCTCATCTCTCCTGTGACAGAGAGAAAAAGCCAACAGACAATTTACTAACCCAGAGGGCTCGCGTCCCTTTCTCCATCAGCCTGCAGTGTTGAAGTTGTGGTCCTTGCACCAGGGGATAGCAGGTGGTCACCAGTGGGGGGACACTTGGCATCATCCTTCAGAGTGACAGTGGGGCTGAGAGGCAGCCTTGGCTCAACCACAAAGGCCTCCACTTGGGCTGGGGATGAGGTGAGAGGCAGGTATAGCACACTGGGCTTTTTTGGCACGGGAGGTGGAATCTTTCCTTTTTTTTTCTCAGCTTCGTCCTGGCTCTGGAGATTAATTCTTTCAGGCAGGGCTCTCCCCTTGGGGCCCTCATCCTCCAAACCTCCCTGGGGAGGCTCCTGAGATCCTGTGAAGAAAGTACTAGAGCAACTGACAAAAGGTGTGAAGATGAGAGATGAGGGTGGCGTTGACTCCCCGGAGCTTCTGCCCTCAGGTGCCCCTGGGGACTTGGGTTTCCCCACCACCGTGTAGACATCTGGAGGGAATGGCTTCATGTGTTGAACTGAGCTCTTGGGGGTCATAGCCAAGGGAGGAGAAGTCAGTGGGTGCTCTTCAGGGACAGATGGCGGCTTGTGGACCAAGCTTGGAGGACGCCGGGCCAGCAGGGGCTTCTCAGCTATGGGAGGTTTCATTTTTCTCTCAGGTGGGGTGAAGACTTCTGCTCCAGGCTCCTCAGCACAGTCAGGGCTCTCGATGTCATCCTCCTGCTCAGACTTGCTGACTGACCTCAGGCGAACAGAACGCAGGTCAGACTGAGTAACCATGGGCATGATTGGTTGGTTGGGGTTAGTTTTCTGGGCCAGTTTGGCCCCAAAATTTGTCTCTGAGTGATGCCGGCTCACCTTGGCTTTGCTTCGGATGGAGATGCTCATCCCAGACAGATCCAGGTTGGTTGAGGAGGTCAGCGGTAGGTCAAATGACAGCCGCGACTTGGAGATTTTTTCCATTGGTGATGGCGGCGGTAGCGATGACTTCCTCTCAGGTACCACTGGACGCACCCGGACACTGCTGCTTAGAGGGAGCAAGTGGCCCAGGGTCAGAGACATGGAGACAGTGGGTGTTGGTGTCTCTGACTGACTGGAGTAGCCACTGGATGGTGACATCAGCCCAGTGGGCCTTCCCGGGGAGGATACTTCCCTGGCTTCCACCTCGATGGAGAGCTGGGAAGGTGTGGTGGCTCTGGAGGTGGAAGGGGAGGCAAGGGACTCTGAGCTGCCCTGAACTTGGGCACATTCAATGACTGTGGTGCCAGTGGCAGTGCTAGAGCTGGACAAGGATTGGTAGGTGTCACCAGACTTCCAGTCTGTGAGATACCAGTGGTGGGAGAACTGTGTAACTGCTGGATCTTTAAAGGTTGGCACAGCTGGGTGACCCTGAGCATCTGGGTGGGGTGTGTGGTGTCCCTGGTGTTCCAAGGAGAGGCAGAGGCTCCTGGGCCTCTGGTCCTTGGCAAGTGCTGCCCCATCTCCTGGCAAGAGGCCTGGCTCATCTTTGACCAGCGAGACACTGCGTGTTGGTGGGCAAGGCTTCTTTTTGGCCTTCTTGAGTGAGATACTCTTGGACCTCTGCCTTCTGTGCCGGGCCTCCTGGGGGGCACCAAGGGAGGCTATGTTGTCAGCACTGTTACTGCCCTCAGAGCTTGCACTGGCATATGGCAGGGCGCAGGCCTCGCTGGCCTTCTGCTCCTCATCATAATCCACATCTGCAGCGCCTGAGTCTGTGGGCACAGACAGTGACCGCTCCCGGAACCTGCTGGCCCCACCCGGGCCGGTTTCCAGCCGCGAGGCACCACTGGTCAGAAGGCCAGTCTTGGATGGTCGTTCCGATACTTGCCTTTGCAGAGGAGGGCGCTCACTATAGCTAGTTAACCCGCTGCATCCTGCTGGATTGTCACGAGTGACGAAGAGGGTCCCCGTCTCCTTCGGAAGCAGAGGTGGCAGCGTGTGCAGAGAGGCCCAAGAATTCCCAGAGGAAGGATTTTTCCCATGTTCGTTGGCCTGATGGCTCTGGCTGGTGGCACTCGGAGTCATGTAAGTAAAAGTATCTCCCTTCCAGGAAGTGGAGAACGTCGATTCTGTGGGTCCATTGCAAGACCCGGGGACGCTGTATACCATTCCCACACTTTCCATGCCAGGAGAGTTTGTGCCACTGTGTGCCTGCCGAGGCTCGTCCGAGTCACGAGAAGGATTTCTCAGTGCTGGCGAGGTGAGGTTTGGGAACCGAGCTTCCTGACCAACTGCAACTCTCCCATGAACACCTTCTGGAACTGAGTGACTGGGCCTGAGGTCTGAGATGACTGGGCAGGCCACGCTGCCTGCTGGGCTGTTGCTGTGACCTGGAGGAGGCAAATACAGAACATTAGTGGTGCAGCCAGTAATCCCCTGGCAGCAGTCTTGAGACAGGAGCACCAAGTCTTTGCCAAGAAGCATTGCCAAAGGCTTGGTGAAAATTCCTTGCTTCTTCCTTTCCACACAGATGAGGCTGCTGGGGGAGTTGGGTCTTTGCTCATCACCACAAGGCGAGTCACAGGGTGCCCTTGAATTGTCCAGGTGGCTGCCAAAGACTCTCCAGTTTTTAGAGCTAAAGTGGTGTGTGAACTACCTTGGGGTTATCCTACGCTTTCACCCCAGACTCAGGACACCATCACAAACCTCAGCATTCACCTCTCCTGAGATGAGAGAAGAGGTTTGCAAAATGATAAAGGACAGCAATGTGTGACCTGCTCCAGCAAGGGACCTGGAGTAAGCTACAGTTGGAGAGCTCAGGGTCTGGTTGTGTTTTTGGCATCTGTCACTTTTAAACTTTGCAACCTAAGAGACTTCAGATAACCTACAGATGTGCAGGAATGGTCCAGATGTTAAAAGTCCCCAACGCTTTTCTTAAACATACAGTTATTACTTTCACATCATCATCATCATCATCGCTACTACTACTACAACTACTGTGGTAATTTATAATAAGTCACCATTGGTTTTACATCTACTAAGGACCAGGTACAAGGCAGGAAAATTACATGCAATAACTAATCACAATTCCAGTGGGTTGCTATCATGTCCCCTATCGTTCAGACGAAGAAACAGAGGCTCAGGGAGGTTATAGCCTAGACAAGGTTTCACAGTGAGTAAATGGGAAGGCCCAGATTCATATGCAATTCTCTTCGCCTGTGCCCTTTGGATGGCATTCATTTAATAGCAGTAATGATTCTGTGAAGATGGTGTTTTATTTACTTCAATTTGCTATCTATAGTTATATTCCATTTATAGCAGGAAACAATAGCAAATTTGTTAGCCTGGAGGACCTGGCTTTTCAGTTGCTAATCTTGGCAAAAGGACCTTGGTTATCCTCAATTACACAGTTGGTTTTTTTTCAGGCTGTCCAAAGTCTCCCCCCCACCCCAACCCCCAAATTATTCCTGTTCCCCCTTACCACAATGCCACCTGAGTGGCAAGACTGGTAGCAGTGAGCAAGGGGAAGGGTCTGGGGGATCAGCTGTGGTGGGGGTCACCTGAGTCTCGCTGGGAAAAGTTAGAGAATCCAATAATGGTCCGCCTCCTCCTCAGGGTGGACTTGGGGTTCACGGCTGTCTCTGTGTTAAACAACGAGTGTCGCAAACTTGCATGTTTATCAAACTGCTGTCCTGTAGCCAAAAATAAAGACACTTGGGTGTATGCTGGTTCCTGTTTACAGTGCGGTGGAAGCAGCCCTGAGGTGGAAGGAAGGAGCGATGGAAGGAGCGATGGCAGTAGCGATGAGCATGAACAGGTCCAGGCAGGCGGCCTCTTCCCCATCCCTCCCAACTTGGCTCCAGGCACCCACAGCCACAAGGCACACATGCTGGATGTCTTAGACCATACCCAGGGCAACTGTAGGTTTCAGGTGGTGGAGAAATGTGGTTTTCAACCCTGGCTACATGTAGAATAAACTGGACAATTTTAAAACTCCAATACCTGGACCCACCCTGCCCCCAGCACATGGCAATCTCTGGGAATACGGCCCCGGTATAGGCATTTTCTCAAACTCCTCAGGTGACTACTTAGATGGACGGCCAGGGGTAAGAACCTGGTGTAGGGACTTAGTCTCAGCCTGGTGAGTTGAGACTTAGATGTTGCTCGATTGTAATCTTTTTTCCTAAGAAAACCTTTGTATGAGCCGGCAAGGACAGTATCTCCACGAGGCCGCCCCATCCGCAGGCTCCATCACCCAGGAAGCAGCCCGAGATCTGTCCTCTGCCACCTGGTCTCATTTTATCAAAGTTCACCACTGCACGGTGATTGAGATCTATTTCTCCTAAAGCTCCAGATCTGTCTTGGCTCCAGTGAAATTGTGGGGGCAGAGGTGGCATGAGACAGCACAGTGGGGGTGAGCTCTGCTGCCCCCTCACTGTCTCTCATTCAGCAGCTAGATAGTCCCTCTACCGCCCCCGCCTTAGGACCAGATGCATATGGCCCCACCCACCCCCAACTCCAGCAAGTGGCTCTATGGGCAAAACTCAGGGCCAGCGGCATGGAGGGTAAGAGAGAAGTTTAGAAAGAGCACCCACCTGCCCTTTGCAAGTCTCTCCTCTCAGCCCTCACTCCTCTTGGTACATCTCCCTAGGACGCCTCTAGCTTCCTGAGGTGACACCAGCGGTGCCAGATGACCTGATATCTAGGGAGGGTCACCATGGGTGGCTGGAGATGGCCTCACTTTCACCAACTTTTCCCAGCATACCACGGGCTGGAGCTGCTTCGCAGGGTGCCTCTGATCCCTTAATGCCAAGAGGTTTTTAGCCCATCAGTTTGTGATCCTATTTCCTTCGGAAACTTCTGCCACTTCTAGCCCATGGAACATGGAGCAGGAATTAAGAGTGAGTGTGGTCTCGGGGCCACACATCCCCAGAGTCACAGCCAGCTGAGCTACATACATCATCCGCCCTACTCTCAAGGTCGCCGGGCACCCCCCTTTGGTCTTTTTTGCCTTAGTTCCTCTCTATCACTTCCCTTCTTAAACAAGGCTGCCTGAGTGGACAGGGCACTGCAAGAGGGGTGCCTTCTTAAAGCACCACAAGACCCTCTGTACCCACAATTCCCCTCTGACTGCAAACCCTGAACTCCAAACTCAGACTGTGGCACAAGAAGTTTTCTTTCCCCAAATCAAACTGAACTCACAAACTTTGTTTCCACAGATGCGTCAAAGAGCACATGAGTTGATAAAGTTTTAGAATATCCTGTGAAGAGATTTTGTTTGCTATCAAATAGTCTGTTAGTACAGTGCCAGTAGGGAGTGAAGGAAGAAGAGCCTGAACCCCCTCCTCTGCATGTCTCTGTTCCCTGGAGAGAACCGTGACCTTGACAGCTCAGGGTGAGTCAGCAGCAAAGAAAGTCTCGCTCCCTCCCTCGGCACCCAGTGCATATGGTCTGTAGTTGGCATGGAGGGAAGCAGACAGAGGTGGTGCTAAGCAACTCTACCAGAGATGTTGATGGGCACAATGTCAGAGTGCGTGGAGCAAGGCTGAAGCCATCGCTTCTCCTCTAGGACGGCAAGAGGGAAGGGGCTATTCCAGGCAGCTTGCTTGTCAGCAGCGGTGGACAGGCTCAGGGAGGCCTCGGGGGCCCTCACCCCCTGCGTAGTAGTCTCATCTTCGCTCAGCTGCCGTTTTGTAGGCTGTTGGGAAAGAAGGTGATGGGAAGGGTGTGCTCCCGACTAGAGATGAGCTGTGCCCACAGGCTGGCTGTCTAAGCAGGGTGGTCGGAGGCTTCACCGGGGAGGCAGGAAAGCACGAACAGGCTGCCAGACCTGAAACCTGCTGTGCTGGGCCATCTCGGCAGGGCCTCGGTAGCTCTGCTGGTGAGCAGAGGTGAGCAGCAGTTTCCGGTGGGTACAGTGAGCAGCTCGAGGTCCCCTGTCCATGGGTGCAGGTGCAGGGTGAGCTGGCTCTGCATGCTGGCGCTCCCGGGTGGGGGAAGAGGCAACTCACCATCAATACAAACTCCAGACGCCTGGCAGCCTGGGGCCTTGGCCTGGGGGTGGGCTCAGGGGCCTCATCAGCAGAGCGGAAGGTCTGCCCCAGAAGTCTGGCCTCCAAGTACTGTTCCTCATATTCTTCTGAAAAATAGCACAGTGGATACACACTCTGGGGAGCCATGGCCGAGTGCGGGCTGGGAAAGGACTGTGGAGCAGGCCTCCTACTCTAGCGGCCAGGCCTGACTTGCACTGTTACTTTAGGATGTTTCCCAGGGTCTGGGCCTCTGGCTTCAGTAATGGAAAAATGCCTACTTCCCGGGACTAGGAGGGCTGAGGAGAAAATTTTGAGTCAACACATTCCAGTTGTGCTGCTTCTAGGACCAAGCCCTTGGTCTCCATGGCCCCACCTGAAGTGCTCGACTCGGAGAAGAGGCTCGGGATGCAGACGCCTTTTGCTACTTTATTCTGCAAGGTCGTCTCCTGTATCCCTGCAGCTCTTCAGGGCTCCTGTAGCCCTACCAGGGAAATGACCTGTGTGAAGCACGAAGAAATTTGCGTTGGGAAGTCCAATCTGGAGTGTTCTCTTGGGTGGCAGGAACTTTTTACTCGAGCCTCTGAGGGCCCAGTTCTCTGCACCTTAGTCCCACTATGGATGGTGTCAGGTTCAGGGGGGCTAAGGTGGAGGAGCGGGAAGGTGGAGGTGGTGGCACAGGTGGTGGCACAGAAGGAAGGAGAAGTTCGAGGGCATCATCAGGGAAGTAGTAGGAGGCATAAGGTTTGAATGGGTTTCGTTTAAGTGATGAATTCGATGAGCAGATGAAGGAGTGAGAGTAGAGAACCAACAGGCAGGGCTCTGTGCACGTTTGAACAGACTTTAAGATCACTGAAAGTTGGAGTCAGGAGGGGGCCCGAAGTCTCTCTGGTCCGATATCCCATCCTGTGCTCAGACGCCCTCCTCAGCTGCCCTTCCAGGTGATTTTCCAGGCTCTGCAGACTCCTGCAGGGAAGGGGAGCAAGCTTTCTCCTAAGGCAGCAGCTCATTCCATCCGAAGTCAGTGGGGCTGTTGGGCATGGAGGGGAAGTACTTTCTTATCTCGAGGTGAAATCTGCTTTCCTCCAGGCTTCCACCCACTGGTCTAATTCTGCCCACGGTGGCAACACAGAGCAGTCTGGCCCTGCACCCCTCCCCCCACATGGGAGCTCCTCTCCTATGTGAACACAAAGCTCATGGTGGCCTCTGGAAACTTGCCTCTCAGAGGTCACCACTGCCCTGGCAGGAAGGTTTGAGTTATGGCAGTTGTCCAGTTGGGTGGCCCATCTGCAGTTTTCTGTTCTCCCTAAGAGTTCGCCTTTGTTGGTGAGATCTGATAAAGACCTCACATTTAACATTCACTTGACAAATGTCTACAGGGCACACCTCTTGGGGACTCCGCCTGGTGTCAGGTACTTCTGGAAACCCAAGGATAGGAAGAGATATGATTCTTGATGTTGAGAAGTTCAGTCTGGTGAAATGGACAAAATGTATCCTCAAGACTGGCGGTTGAATGAGTAAATGGATGGACCAGTGACAGAGAAAGCAGTGTAGAACTACACAAGTCCTCTTGAAATGGATGGTACAAAGCGCCTCGGATGAGTGATGATGGAGGAAACAATGCTCAGTGCAGAACTACTGTTAAAGGCATTTTTGCATGAGCAAGAACAGAACTTTGAAGAAAATGTAAAGACTGGAGTGGGGAAGAGGGACGAAGGGTTTCTAGGAAAAAATAGGCCTTGATGGAACAGCAAGGGCCTCGACAGTATAAGGAACACGTGACTAGCACTGAGGTTTTATTTGTATTAATGTGCTGAGATATAACTTACCTACAGTAAAGCACACAGTTCAGTGGATTCTGCCATGTGAGTGCCTCTTGTATCCCTCCACCCAGATATCCGCAGCACTCTGCTGGTCTCTATCATAGCACTGAGTTTTAATCCTTTGGCTACTTACATTGGATATATCCCTCCAATCAATGTGTACTTTTTTTCATATTGTAAGGTCCTAGTAGGTACCACATTTTTAAAAAATGTATTAACTTTAATACTGTGCCTAGCTCAGTCCATGTTCCAAAAAGCATGTGCTGAGAGTTGATTGTTGCATGTTATCAGGGTCTCTCCAGCTGCAAGACACTCTTGCAAAGTGTTTTACATACACTTATGTTTCATTCTCACAAAATCGTGCCACGTGGAGAACTGGAACCCCATTTTAAAGATGACTGGTCTGAAGTTTAGAGAGGTCAGGTAATCTGCATAATGTAACACAGCTAGTTAGGTGCGATTCAAATTAGATTCTAACTATGTCTGATTTCAAAGTTTGGATTTTCTCAGTCTGCCTGGTGTGTGCAGTCTACCTGCTCGGGCGCAATGACTGGGCTGTTAATCCTGGTTGTCTGGAGTTAGCTTTGCATACAGTGTGCTCATCAGTATCCTCCAAAGATGCTGGCTGGGGAAGTGAGGATGAGGTGAGCTCTGGGTGCCGCATCCTGGGCTTGCTTGGTGAGGCAGTAGCTACCTGGGAGACATGCGGACTAGGTTATTGCAAGAGTGGAGTGAGTGAAGGCCAGAGGCTTCCTTTGTCTTCAGGGTGTAGGATCCCTTAGACATGGGTGATATGGCAAGAGAAAGTGTGGGGGATATGTGGGCCCACAATGTGGGAGTCTGCATCTAGTTCTTTCTGTGAATGGCTTGACTCATTGGCCTGCCTCAGCCTCTGTCCTTTTCAGCCCTGGACTACTTAATTGGAAAGAGGTGGGGTGGGAGTAGTTGGGGGGTTGGGGGTGGGCAAAGTCATAGAAATAAAACCTAGGTAAAAGAAGCGGTGGGAGATGTGTGTTTTGTTTTTTCACTGGGTTTGAAACTGTTCTTTATTTCTGTCGCTGGCCCCTGCCTATCCTCTTTCTTCCACGCCTCATTCCAGCTGTGGGCTCTGGCCGCAGCCCCCCTCCCTCTCAGTACCTTGCAACTGGCTCTGGAGATTGAGCTGCGCTTCGCGAAGCAGCTCCTCTACACTCGGGGGCCTGCCCGGGGAGAGGAACACGTTCACTGGCTGTCGCCATGACGACCTCGAGTGGGCAGTCGCTGTCGCATTTTCCCGACCCGAGTTAGCTGCAGCTAGGGAAGGAGAGAGTCAGTGAGAGGCGCAGCCGAGAGGAGGGGGAGCAGCGCGGGACGGCCAATGGGCGCCCGCGGTTCCCGAAGGCCCGCCTCTGCCGGGGGCGGGGGAAGGCTGCGCTTAAAAGCCCGGGGCTCCAGCGCCGCAAGATTTTTCCTCGACAGATTCCCACCGCCGAGTGCTCCTTTCCGCTCCGCCCGCTGCCACCCGCGCCGCCCGCCCCTCCCCACGATCGCCGCGCCACCCGCGTCCTGCGCCAGGCGCCACCTGCCTCCCGCCGCCTCCGATCCCTGGGACGAGGTAACGCGCCCCGGGCCGAGCCTCGGGTTTCGCGGTGCTCCCCCGCGGTGGGTGTGGCTCTGCCTCCTGCGCGCCGCGCGGCCGCCTGTCTGCCTCCTCCGGCGACCCCTCCGCTCCGTCAACCCCCCCCCGCCCCCCACGGCCCCCGCCGACCCGGGTCCCGAGTTAGTCCAGATGTCCGAGGCGGCAGGAAATCTCAATAGCCTCCGCATGGCGAATGTCGCTTTGAGAGAAGAATTAAATGCCCTTCGCGGGGAGAATGCCAATTTGGGCCTGCAGCTTGGGAGAGCCTTGGCCGAGGTGAATTCCTTGCGGGGCAATGTTTCCAGCTACATCCGCTGGCCAGTGCCGGTGGTGCCCGTGTTGACCGAGGAGAACCTCGAGTTCACGCTCAGCCAGATCGACGCGGTTCCCGAGGGAGAAGTGCCCCTCACGTGTTGGCCTTCCCCGCGCCCTGAGCCCGAGTGCGCCTCGGAAGAACTGCGGGTGAGCGTGATCCAGGACTGTGGCACCTCGGCCGGGCCCCTCCAGCCGCCCCCGCTGCCCCCCCGCCCGCGCCGGCACTGCCCCTCCCTCGGTGAAGGACCTGCCCCCACCGCCGCCGCCTCTGCCGCCGCTCCAGCGGCCTGAGATCGAACCCTTTGCGGGCGACCCGGTGTACCTGGCTGAATTCCTGATGCGGCTCGAGACTTTCATAGCCGACCACGAGGATCATTTCCCCGGGGGCGCCGAGCGGGTGACCTTTCTGATCTCCTTTTTCACGGGTAGAGCCAAGGACTGGGCCACCGCGGTCACCCAGGAAGGAAGCCCCCTGCACGCCAACTTCCCACGCTTCCTGGACGAGACCCGTAAGGAATTCTGTGGCCCCATTCCTCCTAGTGTGGCTAAGAAGGCCATCCGCAAGCTCAGGCAGGGGAACTGTACCCTCGGCAGCTATGCCGACGCTTTTCAGTTCCTGGCCCAATTCTTGTCTTGGGATGACTGCCGCCTTCAAAACCAGTTCCTCAAAGGCCTGTCAGAATTCTTCCGCAAGGAACTCTTATGGTCAACCGAGATGGCCGACCTCGATGAGCTGATTCTCGAGTGTGTAGAGATAGAGAGAAAAGTGCGCGTCCCCAAGCCAATGCCGCTCCCTGGGGTTCGCAATATCTTTTTCCCTTTTGCTGAGGACCCTAACGAAAAGGACAGCGAGGAGCGAGAGCCCCACAGCGAGGACGAAGATGAAGAGGTGCGCAGGCGCAGGCTTTCCCAGCAGGACCAGCAGAGGCGAGTGCGAGCTCCTCAGCAGGAGATGAGGGAGAAGGAGGAGGAGGAGAGAAGAAAGCAGGAGGAAGAGATGAGCAGGAAGGAGAAGGGGGAGATGAAACGGAAAGAGGAGGAGGAGGAGAAAGGCTCGCAGGAGGAGGCAGCTCAGGAGGAAGATGATGAAGATGAAGAGGTGGATGTGGAGAAAATTACCAGTGACGATGAAGAGGAGAATAAACTTAGGGCAGGAATTGTCAGTGAACTCGGCCCGGTTCCAGAGCAGGACCCAGAGCAGGAGCCAGAACCGGAGGAAGAGTCGGAGGACGAGTCCCAAGACGATGACCTTGAGCTGATGGAGATGCCCCCGACCTATGCCAACGCTTCATCGCAGACTACTGGCTACTACCATGAAAATTTCCTGGATGCATCGCCTCCCATAGTACAGCCTAGCAGACGGAGGAACCAGAATCGAGTCCCGCTTCTGGAGGGCCTTCCAGGCACCAATTCACCGTTCTACAGTTCCCCACCACTGATTCGCCGTGCAGGTCGCCTGGGGCAACGCCAGATTCGAAGACGGCCCCCGGTGCTATTCCGCCTCACTCCGAGACAGGGGGGCCACCGTGGCGCTCGGGGCCGAATTCGAGTGTGAGTGCTGGGGCGAGATGGCCACCTGGAACACACCCTTCTGCTGTGACCCTTGCCCCCGCTTCTTGCTGCCATTCCTGCCCTGTTTGCTGACCAGGACCTAAGGACCTCCCAGACCTGTGGACCCAGAATGAGACCTGTAGAACTCCAGACCATCTGCAGCTGTGACCAGGAAGGGACGCGTGCCTGACCAAGGCAGCCTGGGAATGGAGGGGTGGGCACTAGCTGTCCCCTTGGCATGTACCCTGCAGTCCAGCCACAGGCTAGAGAGCAAGTTTCCAGGCCTGTACCTGTACATGAACTGGTCGCCCCCCTTGTATTTCCCCTGTAGTTGTTCCTGACCCCCACCTCTCCTGAGTTTATTCACCCTGTGTTCTGTGGTTTTATCCTTTGACTGGCTTGCCAGGACTTCATCTAATGCCTCACTGATCTGCCCTAGTGAGCAAAAGGACAGGCTACACAGAACTTCTGAAGCCACTGAGGCCATTTACTACATAGAACTGACGAAGAGCAGGACTGGTGTCAAGAAATGTGCCTGGAAGCCTCCATTTGCTTCCAGCCAAACCCCAAAGAGGACCATGGTTGTGGCCCAGCAAGAGTGTGCAAAGCCATATGTCAAGTGGACAGCTGGCTGGGATTTGTCCTCGACTTACTGTGCCAGCTGCTTCCACCTGCCTATAGACGGCGGATCTGGGGCCCTCCCCCAGCCCTACCAACTCCCCCTGGGCCTTCCCAGTGGACAGAGCCCAGTATCACCGACTTTGCATCTTTTTAAAATGTTGCCTAAAAACTAGAAAGTTGGGTGGGGGAGGAGGAAGAGGAATAAGCAGCAGCAACTCAGCTTGACATGGCAAAGAGGGACTCTTTCCTGAGGGACGGTGGTCTCCCCACAGCCAGGCCTTGCATGGTAGTCCCCAGCCAAAGGTCTTTGCATGAGATTTGCTATATTTGGGGTTTCAAGAGGAGGCTGCATTGGCCTTTCCTTCCCAGACCACCAAAGAGAGATCCAGCCTAAGGCCTGCCCTTTAACTTCAACATAAAGGATTCTTTAGTCCTGAGAAGTGAGAGAGGAAGGTTCTCTCTCCAGTGACTGTACCCACAGCAGCTTCGTGGCCTGGGTGTTCTCATGCCTCTCACATGGGGGTGGGGGCAAGCTGGGACTTGGTGCTGGGCTTTGATTTGATGGTGAGGCTTGAGAGGGTGAGTGCCTCCTAGTAACCCCTGGGTCCTCTGTTACAAACCTAGGTGCCCTTATAAAGAGACCTGCTGCTTGCTTGCCTTGGGTCCCCAAACCACTGCTTTTATAGTGAAAAATACACACTGTGTCACTCTGGCCACAGAATGTCAGCCAGATCCGTTGCTGGCTTGAACTGCCCTCAACATAGTCTCCTGAGCGGTGCTTCACAGCTGGGTAAGTGCAACCAAAGTGTTTCTGGGCCAGAGGGACAAAAACAGCAAATGAAGCCTCTGTTAGTCACTGAGTGACAGATAACCTCAGCCCAGCCTCTGGAGCAAGAAGAAAGAGCCGGAGGAAGAGGAAGCACAGAGACCCACTCCTTGGCTGGCTTCTGGTGAGGTCTCTATTCATCCGTGGGAGGTAAGAAACCCCCTTTTCTAGCTCTCATTTCTCATCCTGGGGATTAGTGGAGTCAGGTTCCTATAACCTGTTGCTGCCTTTTAAGAAGGCTTCCCCCTTCTCCAAAGACAAAAGAAATACAGAATCATTATAGAAAATTTGGAAAATAGAGAAAACTACAAGGACAAAAGAACCCCAAACATTCAGAATCCCACTGCGCAGAGGCAAACACTATTATTAGTTTATAGCAAACTATTATTAGTTTGCTGCCTTTCTTTCTAGGGTGTTCTTGCTGCCTCTTTTCAAAGCTGAGCTCATCCTACAAGCTCTTGATCAGCAGGATGTAAAATGGCTGTCACCTATTCAGTCATGCATAATGAATACTTCATTTAAAACTTTGTTTTTCAGCTATTTCCTCAGGAGACAGTCCTGGAAGGGGGGCCACAATACTGCCAGCCTGTGGATCCCGATTGCTCATGGATGACACTCTGGCTCTGCTGCCCACGTCCCTATTGGAGAAGTGGAAAGGACAGGTGCCTTGCACCCCCACTCCCAGGGACCCCTCAGCACAGGCCCCGCCTGTTCCCATGGTGCTTCTTACTCTGAGCCCTCAGTAGCCTCAGCTGAGGAAGAAGCGAATGATCACTGAACTGGTGTCTGGCCTCTGGCGGCAAGGGGCCTTGAACTTCCCTTTGACCCTCTTCCCCCCTTTCCTAGATCTTCAATATTTGTTGTGATATAACACCGATAAGAGCTGTAAGAGGAACTATGGGCTTTGGGTGCTTTCTTGGGTTGAAAGAGGGGTTGGGGGGAAATGCATGCAAGGGTCTGAAGGCAGCCCAAGGATTCCCAAAGACTCAGAGGGAGTTCCCTTTGGAATAAATGTGTTATTGTTATTGTGTTATTGTCCTATTACTGTGTTGTGAAGATAAGGAATTATTCGTTATGCTAAAGCTTTCTCCTCAATAAAAATCCAAAGGGTGTGTACAGACTTGTGTCTCAGTGGGTTATTGAGCAAGCAGAGGGGTACCCAGTAGGCATCGAGTACTGCCCAGGCACCTTGCCTGACTCAGCCCTAGTCTGAAGCTTTGTAGCTCAGGCCCAGCAGAACTCAAGGGACCTACCCAGAAGCCTCCACATGTGTGGGTAGCAGAAGCTGTGAGGAGGGAAGTGGAGGTACCAGGCATTGGTACTCCACTTGGATATAAAGATATCAAGTGGCCGGGCCCATCATCATTCAGCAATCTTGCCCCACTGGGCCAACACCCCCACCCCAACACATACAACAATGGGGTTTTGAAGGGCGGGAGGGAGGCCAGGCAGGGCGAGGGGTGGCCCTTCCATTTTTGGGCACTAGGTGGTGCTGTGGTATACCAGTGAGCTCCCGGGTGAAGGCTAAACACAGATCCCCAGGGCAGTCCATGTAGAGACCCCTTCCAGCAAGACTCTATTGGTCCCCATAGACTGAAGGTCAGAAGAAATGGAACCTCATTCTGGGGTTTGCTCAAGTTTACCAGTAATGAATTGGAATTTTTGTTCCCCTGGGACGGTGGCTGGGAAAGTTTATTAAGCTCCTCCTAGGGCTTATTATTTGTTTTCTTATTAACCTTACCCTATCTGGCAAAAACAGATATTAGAAGTCTCTGACCCAAGGTTGGCAACTGGTCAGTGGCTCTCACAGCCCCGCAGCTACCCATTAGCCCAGGAACACTTCAGCCCTCTGCCTCCGCTCCACTGGTCTCCCAAGTTTGATCTGTCTGGCCAGTGCTCTTCTAGCTTACTGGAATCCAGTGAGAAAACCAAGCCCAGTTTCAGAGGCGCATTTGCATTGCCCCTTTAAGAGGGAGGAGGGGAGGGAGGGAGAGAGAGAGAGGGAGGGGGGAAACCAGTGTGTTTCTGACCCACATCTGGCACTTTTACCAACATCATCTCATTTCATTCCCATGACAACTCAGTGAAGAAGGTAATGGCGTCTGCTTTTGCAGCAGAGGGACCTGCTGCAGCTGTGATACTAGGTTCCATGGGGGGCACTTGAGGCTATGTGATTCCCAACTGGTGTTCTCACCTTGCTAAGACACCTTGCTGTTTCCAAGGAGAGTCTCTCCCCCTATCCCAGCCTCAGCCTGACTGGATTCTGGGTCTTTTTCCCCTTCTGGGAGGGACCGGATGTGGGGCCAAGGGCTGCATCCATGAACACTGGGGTCCCCTTTCTGTTTCAGCAGGTTAGATAAAGCTTCCAGCACCCCTGGATTTCTCATGCCATCATAGGTAGGTGTAGGTGAGGGCTGGTCTGTGTTGGCCCAGGCCCAGCTCACAACTGGGACCCAGTGGGATCTCAGCCTTCCAGTTTGCTATATGAATGGAGTGAGCGAGAGTAAGTGGGCCCCTGATGGAGACCTCGAGGCAGCCTGCAAGGGCATCTGCAGATAATACGAAGCTCAGAGGACTAGAGGATGCTCTCCAAAATGGAATCAGGAGACCCCCAAATCTCCTTGGCCTGGATCGATGCGCTGAGATCATCTTTACTCAGGGCACACGTGAGATCTTGCCAGCAGATTCAGAAAACCAGCTGCAGAAGCCTGAGGGGGGAAGATGTGGCTTAGAAGAAATTTGTGGCAAGCAAATGAGAACTTGAGTGAATGGGGGCTGAGGTGAATGAGCAGATGCATGGCTGTGAGAAACACCATGCCTCCCAGGCGTTCCACGCAGAATGCGGGATCCTGGGACTCAACCTGGAGCCCTGGCTGCCAATGGGAAAGTGACCAAGGATGTACCTCACCAAAGCCGTTTTATATGCCAGGAGTAAGGAAAAGAAGAAGGAGGTGGGGGCGGTAGAAGGATGACAAAGATGGTGAAGGTCCCAAAGCCCCTGTTCTCAAGGGATGGAGGTAGGCAGAGAAAAATCTGTGAAGGGGAATCCACTGTTACCCTCATTCATTCTGTAAGAGATGAAACTGACAGCTTGAGGTCACTTGCCCCATTTGCAAATTTCGACTGTGAACTGCAGCAGTTTGACACCTAGAACTCTTAATCACTACCTCCACCAGCACCCACACTAATGGAATCAGAGTCTACAGAAATTTCCATTTCTAAAGAGCTCACAAAGCACTTCTAGTGCCCAGTCCATCCCAGTGCAAGCTGCATTTAATAACCAGCTTGGTGCTCCACAGAGCTCCCTGAGCAGGAACTAGCCCGGAATTTCTGCGCTAGCATGTAGTACATGATTGAGACCTATTTGTGCAACAGTCCTCCAGCACGTGCCATGGTCTGGTAGGAGCTCGACTCTCTCGGACACCTGCTCAGACTGTACCCCCACCCCCAAGAAGGATGTGCAGAAGTCTGGCCCCAAGAAACCAGGCCCATCAAAGCTCGGGCCTTTACCCTTCACATCCAGAACAGGCCTACACGGGGCCTCGACTTCTGAGGGATGAGGGGCGTGAGGAGGGACAGGAATCAACAAGGGGAGCAATTTTCCCCCAGTGGGGGTGAGGGGGATTCTCCACCTCTAGCTGACAGTTCCTGCATCCTGCACAGACCAGGGAAAGCTCTGTGTGCCATTTTTCCCTAGGGACTCAAGAGACACAGAAACAGAAAGCCCTGGGTTCTTGGTTGCCCTGGTAACAGCAGGACCTACTTGGAAGAAAACAGTCTCTGAGAGGCTTAGTAGGGTGGATATTTCCTTTGTCGGAGGGCAGGTTCTGACCTGCTCCCTGCATCCCCTCTCCCCTTCTAGAGTGCTGCTGTAAAGGTGGGGGCCCCTCACCTCAGCAACTCTGTGCAATTCTCCTGGGAGGGGAGTGCCAGGAAGTCCGGCCCTGTGCTTTTCATTCTGCTCTTGCTATGGGCTGTTAATATGAGCAAGAGGCTAAAATGGAAGGTGTTAGCATGTGAATTCATGGCAATGGCACTCTGGCCTGAAGAAATCTCACCTCCTAGGACACATGCACAAGCAAACTTGAGGAGGGCAAGTGCCCCAATATTTGTCCTAGCTCTTCCTCACCACTTAGCATGAAGACCTAAGCTGGAGAGATTATTCAGAAGTTCCACACCCCCCACCCCCCACCCCCAGCTTAGCTCTGCTTCATCTCTCACCTGGATGACTGAAATCGTCTCCCGGCTAGTCCACCGCTTCTAACCAGTCCATTTTCTGCGTACTTGAGGGGGGACTGTGAGGTTCTTTGAACAAACACATCTGGTCCTATTGGTCCTACACAAAAAACTTTCAATAGCTCTCTCTGTTAGAATTATGGACCTGAGTCTGGCATTTGTTATCTCTATCTATCTCTGTCTCTGTCTCTATCTCTACCTATCTCTAGCCCACCTATGTTGTCTCACCTGCTCATGCTATCCCACTTCCCTCTTCAATTCAGGCCAAACCCCAGGTATCCTGAAATCCTTCTTTCCTTATGAAAGTGGGGCCCCCTGCTCCCACCAAAACCCTGGAGCAAGCTGGGTTTGGTGGCCAAACCCAGGGCAAGATGGCCAAAGCCGGCACAGAGCAGGTTGTTTGGGTTTTGTTTTGTTTTTGTTTTTTTTTAAAAAGCAGCAGTTTTGGAGACCTGTGGTCAGGTTTAAACCATTCAGATACAGGGCATCCCTAGTGGCGCAAGGGGTTAAGCACCACACTGTGAAGCTGTCTGCAGCCTCTGCAGCACCAGTTCAATCCCTGGCCGTCCAGAACCCAATATGGTGCAGCAGACCTCTCCTGTCTTGCCTGCTGCTCCCCTCAGCAGTGTATTTCAGTCAATCCTCCTGTTCTGTTCCCCACTCTCTCTCTGGTGAACCCTCTCACCACCTCCGCACCTCTGGCCTGTACCCCAGTTCTTGTATGCATAAATAAATAAATCTTTCAAAAAATAAAAAAAATAAATAAACCTTTCAGATACAGCAGAGCTTGCTTGCCCAGTCTTGTTATGGGCCCAACCCAGAGCAAGATGGCTCAGGGCAGGTTGGATGTACTACTGGGATTTTGGTTTTGAATCCTGAGCTGGCTTTAAAAATGGACCAATCAGGTTGAAGTTTGCACCAGCACCAATCAAGCCTTAGAAACAGAGCTGGTTTGGAAAATGGACCAATCAGGTTGAAAAGGCAGGGAACCTGAAGAGGGTTATAAGCAGGGGCTTCAGTGTACTTCAGAGAGTCTCATCCAGTCTCTCTCCTGGGAATACTTTGATGAGACCTCTAAAACTTCTGAGAACCTTCAAGACCTCCCAAAACCCTCCACAAACCTCTGCAGACCTCAGCCGACCTCCATGCTGATCGCTGTCATTGGCCTATACCTGGCAGTTAAAGAACTCTCCACTGCTGGCCTGTGTCTGGTATCCCTGAGGAGCTATAACACTGGTGCCTGGCCCTGTGGTACAGCCTCTGAGAGTTGTCTGGTCTGGCATCTGTCACTGCCTAACCAGCCTTCAGATTGCTGCTGTGCTGCTGACTACCTCCAGCTGCCACCAGGAGTTGGATCTCAGTCCACCACTGAGCAGTGTGCCACCAGCTCTGGGCACTCAATAGATGGACAATGCCATCTTGTGTGAGCAGCTTTTGGTTTGTACTACTGGACACTGTGGACACTATCTGGGGTAGGACAGTTGATCATTTGTGGCCTTAGCAACTCTTTCCTTATCTCAATCACCTCTTTGTAAACAAGCCTGTTGTTGTACCCTGAACTTGAGTCATGTCTTGCAACTGTGAGCACACGGGTGAGAACACATAAACTGTGGCATTTCCCCTGCCTCGTGTGGTTTCACTTACATATGAAGCCCTTTCATGTCTCTGGACCTTTGCATAACTTATCCCCTCCGCCACCCTAAAATTTCACAAGCGCTGCTCACCCCCACTCCAATTGGCACTCTTCTCAGCCAAATACCACTTCAACAAGCTGCCTTCATTCCCCAGACAAGCCCCTGCCCTTCTGAGTGCCCACTCCCTCCCCTGCTCCTGACCCCACTGCTCTGTGAGGCGGTGTTACATCACAGCAAATGAGGCCTAAGTCATGAACCTGAACCTTCAAGGAGAGACTGGCTCATGACTCCAAGTGAGT